GCGCCCTCGACCATGATAGCCACTTGACTGACCACAAGATACGTGTCCCTGTGATGACTCAGTGGCAGAATCCTGAGGCCCACGAGTATTAGTTTTAGTAGCATTGCCTTCTCGAGAAGAACAAAAAGTTAGCAGAAATACCCTCGCTCAAGAACACCTTCTGTCGAGCTTCACAATCTAACAACATTTCAGTAAGAACATCAAGAGACAATACTTCACATGACACAATTGCAATAATGGATTCAAACTCCATTGATAACCCAACTAAGACAACACTAACATGTTCTCGTTCAGTAACCACACTGCCCGCATCATTCAACAAGTCACAAATAGACTTAACCTTAGCAATATATTCTCTGATCATCAAGCCAGACTTGCGTTGGGAATGAAGGTTATGCCAGAGAGAAGAAGTTTTTGCACTGGAACGAGCACCAAAAAGTCAATCTATAGTGTTCCAAATTGATATCGCCGTTGTAAGACCAGTCAAGTAAGGCAGAACCTCAGTGTTCACAGTGGTTAAAATCCAAGAAGCAAGAAGCTTATCTTGTTAACGATAAGCTGCAAATCCTGGATTATCTTTAATTTGACCAGAAGCATTAGTAATAAACTCATCAGGTACAACAGAACCAGCAGAAATAAATTTCAGCAACCCATAACCATCAATTATCAAAGCTATCTGATGCTTCCAAAGAAGATAGGTAGATTCAATAAGTTTAACCATATCATGCTTCGGTATGTGTTGAATGCCAATCATACTTCGCGAAGCTCCCGGACTCAAAGAGGAAGTATTTGGAGACACATCCTCATAATCACGAGTAGGATCAACCATCAAATCAACCATGATAATCACAGAAACAACAACATACTTTCCACAGTGATGAACCACGAAACACAAAAATATCAAGATCACGTGCAAAGAATGCTTGTGCGCAACACATCCACACAATCATCAAGACCTGAGAGATCTGAAATACCTCGCTCTCAACTCGCTCGAGCAATCACCACAAGTCAACAGGAAAGAAAAAAAGTCAGCAGCGGAAGAAACACAACCACCAGGATTGGAAAATGATACCATGATAAGATAGCACTTAAGCTATCTAGAAGAATAGAAGAATGAACAAATAAGAGCTATGACTCTTTGCAATTCTATTAACCAGAAGATGATCTCTCTTGAACTAGAGAGTGGTTATTTATACATGAAGGGTGTGCATAACAAACTCATAACAAACTTAACATCTTGTAACTATACTATAACAAAAACCCTCATCCATGCAACACACGCATGCACGTGATCATAACACTAACTTTCATCCTACATCATCAATCTTCAGCATTTGATTCATAACACTAACAAGCAGAACATGAATCTGGTTGAGAAAACTGCAAAACTGGGATTGTGTTAAGTTCGACATTGGTGGAAACGTGATTAATAAGATTCTCTATGAAGGCTATTGTTGCTGAAAAAACTTTGACGCTCAAGAATCATCATCAACGGAGATCATTAACTCGAAAAAGGATAAAGGAGATGAATATCAGTCGGTGGTAAAAAGTTCGAGGATAAAAGTTAGAAGTAAAAACTGACGTAAACTATTAATTTAAATAAATTCATTAATACAATTGGAATCATATGGTTGGTGGGGTATATAATGGGCATACAAAAGTGTAGATGATTCTTGTTCATTTTATGGTAGATATAATTTGGGATGTTAAAAAAAATCCCAAATCGTTAATCGGTATAATTGTTGTATTTAATAGGTTAATTAATTGAACTGTTAATTCTAAACGGTTTAAATTAATCGAACCGTTAAAAATAATGATTAACAGTTAATGTTACAGTTACAAATTTTGATAGACAATTAACCGTTAATAAATTAAATTTATAATTATATTTCTAATTTATTATATTTTTACAAAATAACTTATTATAAGTTTATATTATTTATAATTTATATATATATATTTAATAAAATTTGTATACAAATAACTTAATGCATATTTTTTTATTTTTTTTATTACTTTACAAATATAGAAATGTACTTACATCAATATACTTATATATTTATTGTTAGGTACTAAGATATTGGGAGATGTATATACTTACAACAGTGTAAGTATGTGTTAAGTGCTACACTTTTTTATTTTATTCACTTACACCGGTATAATATGTGTTAAGTGCTACACTTTTTTGTTTTATTCACTTACACCGGTGTAAGTATGTGTTAAGTGCTACATTTGTTTATTTTATTCACTTACATCGGTGTAAGTATGTGTTAAGTGCTACATTTTTTTGTAGTATGAATTATGAAAAAAAAATTGACAAATAATTGTAATAGGTTAAATGTAGGTTAATCTGTAACCGAACCGTTAATAATGGTTAACCATTAGTCGTTAACCATTTTTTAATGGTTAGGTTACGGTTAAAAAAATCTCATAATCGTTATAATGGTTAACCAACCGTTTAGGATAAACATTACGATTAACTGTCCATGGACAATCCTAGATATAATTTCCATGTTTTTTCTAATAAAACATATTTGCCTTGTAGTAATTTTTTTTGCCTTTTATTATATAATTTTAAATTAAATTTTATTTTAAATTAATATATTTTGACAAGTATTTTTTTTAATAAATTTTAAATTTATTCTTAATCTTATTTGGAGGAAGAGAAAAATAGAACTTAAAAGACAGAAATGAGGTGCTTCTAATATATTTATAATTCATGACCTAAATTATATTGGACACATTTAATTAATCAAATATTATCATATTACTAAAAATGAAATAAATTAATCTTTAAATGACGTATCACTATTTTTTTACTATTAATATAAAATTTTATTTTATAATGAAAGTTAATATTTTTATATTAAACTTAGGATCTAATGCCACTAAAATAATATTCTTCGTAAATAGACCAAAAACTCATTCAATACGATATAAAAAATTACATACACTATTTGCGTTGAATATAAAATTTTCTATTTTTAAAATTATTTATAATTTGAACATAAATTTTAAAAATTAATCATTTATATTTAATAATAGTTTAGTTTAATCTATTTTATAGATGAAATTGTTCTAATAATATGTTGAAGAAAAAAAAAACTGTTGAGGGAGCGTGCAAAGAACATTATTTTTTCAAGTAGGGCATTTGTTACAATACTCGTTGAAAATCGTTTGGATCACAAAACGATTTCTGAAAAACATTTGAATTACTTGACTGATTTTGGAGCGCCACCTACTATCCATGTTATCGTGATTACATAAAGTTTAAAGAAGATGTCATAAATTTCAAACTACTTTTAAAAGTCGTTGTATGTTCCAACAAATACTATATTAAACACCCAACCGGAAAATAATATTCATACACTCCGTACAACCATTTTCAATACATTATTTGAAGAAATTTATCTTATTTCATAATTTAATTGCCTGTACAATTCAGTTGGTAGAGCGCAAGGCTCTTAACCTATTGGTCGTGGGATCAAAGACCACGGTGGGCAATTCATAATTCTGACTGCCGGAGGTCTTCCACGGAAGCTGATCTCAACCTGACGTTGAGGGCAGCCTACTACCTTACCTCCCCCTCACCCCATTACATATGGGAATAGAGTCAGCTAATTTTTTTTTAATCTTATTTCATAATTTATTTTTTTCTCCTACCATCATTCAAAATTCATATTATTCTTTGTCGTCGTCATTTAAATCAGTGCTTCCTTACCTTTTCTTTCTTTTGATTTTATTTTTGAAAGTAGACTATGATATCTTCATTAGTAAAAAAAAAATTCACCCACAACGTCTTGTCGTATACATATTGAACAAATATGTCTATGATTATCATAAGTAAAATATAACGATAAGCGACTAGTGATAGCCTAATGGGTAAGACCGTGAACATTGAGGCAATGACATACGAAAATGAATCAATTTGACGTTCTCGAACACCAAACATAGAAAAATAAAACTTATAGAATATTCAAAACGGACGAAATGAAAAATCAAAGTCCCTTAAATACAGTCTCATCTAACACAGATATCTGACAATTAATGGAATATCATATACAAATGAATTTAATAAACCAGACATCGGGAAACCAAGAGATCATATAAAACCAGGAACCAAGAAGAAAAATCAATGGAAGAAACATGCAGTAAAAGTCCAAAAACATAAATAGTTATAATAGCCTTTACCGAAGAAAAGACCAATAAAAATATTATTATAAGTATATTAAAATACAATTAAAAACTAATAAAACCAGACAATAATCAACTGAAAAAGAAAAGAAAGGATAAAAACGATAGAAAAATGATCTGTGAAAACCACCGACAGTTTCTTTAATGTAAGAGAATTATGATAACTGCTCAATGAATTTATTATTATTTTTCATTTATTTTCTTTCTAATTCTTCATCAAAACTAAAATTCCAAAAAAAAAAAAAATTCATCTACTATCGTTTATTTGATTGTTAAAAAATACGGATTATTATAAGACAAATATAAAATTGATAAAATTTATTTGATTTTCATTTATTAAAATGATATTATTTGATATTGTGTATCATACTATAGGTAACAATGAAGTAATCAAAATATGAATAATTTAAAATTTTAATAGTCTAAATTTAGATTTTTTAAGATGATATTATTCTGGTGATCATAAGTAATGACAGAATGATCAAAATATGTATAATTTAAGAGTTCAATAATAAAATTGAATATATTTAAACCTTAGGGATTATTACCAAAATACTAAGAAAGTTCAGTGATAAAATTTGTATTTTAACCTTCAATTGAATTTGCTCAAAACCATCCCAAATAAAGTTGGGCGTATCGAATTGTTATAGTTCAGAGAGCAGCTCGCATAGATCTGAGGAGATTCAAGGTTCTTTCCTTCTCGCTGCGCGCGCGAGAGTAGTTAACGCCGCACACTCCACTGCCACTGGTTTTTCGTCGACTTTCGAGGCTTCGACTTGGAGCTTCTTCCCCAAATACTGACGTCCCTGGCCCTTCTTCGGGTAAATAACTTTTCTTTCTTCTTCCATTCTTATTTATCCCCTCTCTAATCTTCCCCTTTGCGCCCCCCCCCTTTTATTACGACGACTAAATCTCAACATTTGTTTCAATGCAAGCTCTGATGAAATCATTTCTCCCACATTGGGTTTCCCATTATCCATTTCTTTTCCAGATTCTATTAACAAAAGTATCCCTTTTTTCCTACTTCAATGTACTTCAACTTTTAAATGATTTTTCTCTTGATTTCATTGACATTTCATAGTAGAAGGGTTATTTACTTTTGGAAACACTTGTTTGAAGTCTAAAGTTATTTAAAGTCGTGAACTTTTATTTTTATTGTTATGAATATCTATTTGAACAATATCAGTCAAATTTCTTTGTTTAACTATCTCAGATTTCGGCTGGTATATTTGTTGAAAGCAAGGCCTTGATGGTTTAACGTTGTTTTTGGGCAATTGAAAACCATTACTTGAAATCACCCAAACAATTAAACAGAATGAGCAGTGTAATTGTAAGTATATGTTAGTCACTTTTTCATTTCATTAATTGGGTGAAAATGCTTGAAAATTTTCAAGTGGATTTCTCTTCCTGTCTTAAAAAGTAAACGAAATAAAACAACAACAGTGTTGTTGGAGTGGGTTTGTACCAGAGAAATCATGTAGGTGGCATTACCTGTTTGAAACGTCCAACAATCTTGCTTGTAGCATATATATATCTAAGCTTAAAACAATGGAAATAAAGTGGGTATTAGGACTAATTTTACCTTGTTCAAAGATTGGCAATGGCTATCTGTTATGATGTATGTTCTGTTATTCCAGACAATGGGCTTCAAAATGCTGGCCTTTTCATATTTGCCATATTTGAAATATCGAGATTCTGAGGTTTAACTTGATCCAATGACTAACTACATAACTTGAAAAAGGTCCAATTTTGTATTCATCAATGAGATTGATAGGAAACTAGTCTGTTCTATAAGAACTAATGGAGATAAGAGAGAGTATTTGGAAAATTTCTACCATGTTTTAAAGATTTGCAAGGACTATCTTTTATAATGTTATTTACTATTATTTCAGACAATGTGCTTCCTAAATGCTTGCCTTTTCATACTTGCCATCTTTAAAATATTGAGATTCGTCGTTTAGTTTGTTCCAACGGCTAACTACATAACTTGAAAAGGTGCAATTTTTCCAGAGGAAACTGATCTGTTTTCTTGGCCACTTCTTTTGCAATATATTTGCTTATGATTGTATAACTTATGTGTGCGTGTTGAACTCCAATGCTTTATTGGTGTTAATTGATATGTATTATTTCATTCACTTGCTTGTTTTGTGCATTATGAGTATTTAAGAAGCAAAGAGAGCCATCAAGGTTGCCCAGCAAAACAGATGCAGAGCTAGATTGGATCAGCAACTTACCGGGACATGTTATCGATCAAATTTTGTCACGTTTGCCAATAAGGGATGCGGTAAGGAGCAGTGTTCTGTCGAGGAAGTGGAGATACAAATGGGCTACAATACCATGTATTGTGTTCGATAATCAGTGTTTTAATGTTTCTTCACAAGACCAAACTTTCATAAAAGACAAGCTTGTAAACATCATTGACCATGTACTCTTACTACACAACGGTCCAATACACAAGTTCAAGCTTTCTCATCGAGATCTTTTAGGCGTCAGTGACATTGATCGATGGATACTTTGTATATCAAGGAGCTCTATCAAGGAATTTGTGCTTGAAATATGGAAGGGCCAGCGATACAAGCCACCTTCTTGTTTATTTAGTTGCCAGAATTTAATTCATTTGGAGCTGTTTAATTGTTTGCTAAAACCACCATTAACATTCAAAGGTTTCAAGAATTTGAGGAGTCTTGATCTGCAGCACGTTACAGTTACCCAAGATGTGTTCGAAAAGCTTATTTCGAGCTGCCCTTCTCTTGAGAGATTAACATTGATGAACTTTACTGGTGTCACTCATCTAATCATTGATGCACCAAATCTGCAATTCTTTGACATCGGTGGTATTTTTGATGATGTTAGCTTTCTGAATACATTCCATTTAGCTTTGGTTTCCATTGGTTTGTATGTAAACATTGACAATGATGAGAACAATGCTCGAGATAATTCCAGTAAACTGCTCAGATTCTTTGTTCATCTGCCTCATATTCGAAGGCTGGAGATTCAGAGTTACTTTTTGAAGGTAATGACTTATCTAACATCATTGTATAGCACTAGTATCTTCTTGTTTTCTTTATCATTTGGAAGCTTAGATGCATTTTTACAGCCTTTTATAGGAGTCCGCAAACATAAAGTTTAAAGAAACAGCTTTACATGTTTCTCTTTTCTGTAAATTGGTTATTGAATCCTGATATACTTGTCGGGGTTCTCTAGAATGTGCTTGTGCCACTTTAGTCTCTAATATATCCATTGGAGATTCTAGTTTATATTGTTTTTCCTTTTTCTGCTCCAGTATTTGGCTATGGGATATGTGCCGAGCAGGTTGCCTAACCCATGTGTTGATCTGAATCATCTATCTATTCGTATAGATTTTGATGATTTGGAGGAAAATACTGCTGCTCTATGTCTCCTAAGAAGTTGTCCGAATCTCCAAGAGCTGGAAATGTTGGTGAGTTCTATATATATATTTTTTAATCTTTTAGGTTCTTATGGTGATGTAAATAGTAATATCTCCGGTTTTTATATCACATTATTGTTTTTACCAACACTGTTAATCTAAAAAGGTTATCCATGTAATGGTTATTGATTTCGGAGGTCAATTAGCAGTTTTAGCAGATTAGAAATGTCTGATGTTTTATGTAGGCTCGACCTGAGGAACAAACTTGCATAGAAAGATCCACCAACTTTTGGGAAGATGATCATTGGAGCTCATTGTTTGCACATCTGAGAATGGTAAAAGTGTCTGGCATCTCAGGTGTTAAATCAGAAATGGATTTCATCAAGTTCCTGCTATCGAATTCACCCGTGCTCGAGCAGTTGACTGTTAAGCCTGCTTCACAAGAAGGCGAATGGGAGTTAATGAAGGAGTTGCTTCGGTTCCGGCGGGCCTCGATATATGCAGAAGTCATTTATTTGGACTCATGATAACCGTGGCTGCCATTGCGGAAAGTTGAGAATTTTAGGAAAATGGCATCCATTAGCAGGTTTGCTTATTCACTTGTTAGGGGAGCGCCCTTAAAAATTTAAATCCATAAACCAGAATTGATATGTGCTTGTTCCATTATAAGGGCTTTGTGTGTGCGTGTGTACACGGTTTGTTTTTTCTTGTACAAATGTTGCGGATATTAGAATTTGAATGCATATCTATATTAATTATTTACCATTTAGGTTGCATGAACCAAGTTTTGAGTTTTATCATCTTAATTTTATCAAAATATATAAATTAAATTTCATTTAAATTTAGAAAGAATCTCCCTAGTACTTGGGCCAGTCTTTGTTTCCAGTCCATTGAAGCCCCAGGGCCAGTCCAATGAATTTTAATGCCCTGGGGGATATAATAATTTTATGTCCTTCCATCGATGATTATGCACCGTCTGCAATGAGAAGACCATCCAACTTTCATTAATTTTTTTTTTGAATTTTCGAAGGAAGAATTGATTAAGCTCCTTACAATTCTGCTCATAAGCATCACCAAACAAGAAAAGAGAATCAATATTTTCATCTAATCACCCAATTTTCCATATGGAATAGCTCTGCCCGATTGAACTAGTATTTGGAGTTCCCTTTTCAGTCAACACTCTTATGGTTGCCCAACAATCGTAAAGGGTGCCTACCTTCAACAAATTCCTGCAAAGAGCCCAAAAATATATTGTCATCTACCTGATGAGGTGTATGTATAGCAATGCTTTATCAATGCCCTAGCAAGTAATAAATATAGGTAAGCCAAACTTGAAGGAACTTAAATATATATATATCAATAAAACCATAATTGACAAGCAAGAGTATAATTGCATACTTTATAGTTGATAGTCGAACAAATCGAATATCCGACAACCGCTCACTGAGTTCTGCAGGATTGACCAATTGCTTCCTATCAAACAGAAGAAAATGTAATAATCAGGACTTTGCTATTTGCCACTTGCCACTTAAGAATTAGTGGAATGTAAGTTGAAGTGTTTGAACTTGGCCTTACCTTATACGCAAACCTGAAAACTTATCAACTTGAATATCATTTGAACTCGATGGCTTCAACTTCGCATGTCTCTCAACTGGTTTGGGTTCATAATCAAGGCAATCTTCGACAAAATTCTTAAAAACAGACAAGTCTGATTTTCCTCTTTGCCTTGGCGATCCATCATCTAATAGGTACCCTAAAAATTTAGCCCGAACAACTTGTAAAACCGAGAGATACCCATTATCAGACTCGAAAGAAATAACAAAAATAACCGAAACCCATACATAAAGAAAGTACAAACAAAAGAAAATAGGGAAAATGCAAAACCAGAAACCCAAATTCCAACTATAGAGAAATAATAGATACACATAACGGGTTTTTAAAGAGCGAATCCAAAATAAAGCCAAAGCAGCTATGAGATTTTACCTGGAGAATAAGGAAACCCATTTGGTGTAATGAGCGAATACAAATAATTACCAATACATGTGCCAGATGCCTTTATTTTGGAAAGCCAAATGGGTTTACCCATTTTCAAGCAATTTCAGAGCTTCCTTCACTCAACACTTCATTCCCTGATTTTCTAATGCAATTAAGTGGTGAGAAAAGAACAAGTGGGGGAATTGAACAAGGGTTTGACTCAGCTGATGTCGAGTTGAACGGTGAACCAAATAATTACCAACAAAACTGTTGTAACCGGTTTTCGCCCGGACACGAAATTTTACTTGGCGGAAAAAGTGATGTGGATAAATAAATGGGTTTTTAAGGAAATGTTTGAAGTCACCATCAGCCTTTTGGGTTAGGTAGGTCGAATACATAAAAATCATCTTTTAAAATAGTTTTTAAGAAAATATCATTTTAAAAGAGAAACTAGTGCGTGTTTAACCAAAAATTTGTTTTTTTAATAATAAAAAGGGATTCGTGGTCGATTACGTTTGGGGAAGGATTAGCACCCTACAACGCCCAAAATTGGTCCCTGTCGATTATAAATTGTATCTAATAATAGAATTTAAGAATTCGAATATAAATTTAATTTATGATCTTTTCATATTCAATTGGATAATAAGGAAAAAATATTAAAATAGTTTTAATAAATTATAAATAAAGTATTTATTTATTTAAAAATATTAGAAAATGACAACTAGTTTCTTTAAGACTGTCTTTTTTTAATATTAATAAATAAATTAATAAGAATATAATAATTTTTCTAAAAATAATGAAGTAAATATATATATTTTTATAAGTTGAATATTTATTTCTTTTTAAAGTACCAGAATAGGACGTCTAGTTACTTTAAGACTGCCCTTTCTTAATATTTAAAAATAAATAAATATTATCATTTAATTAATTTGTGAAATTAGTTAAATAATACTTATTAATCTTTCATATATATATATATATATACATATATTAATATGACTAAAATAAACTAAACACAAAATAAAACGAAATAGTTAAAGAACTAGAATTAAAGTATTGAAAAATGTAAAGAAAAAATAGAAAATTAAAGTAATGAAATTAAAGATATCGAATATAATGCCCAAAAATAAAATAGCTCAGAAGATTAAAAGATAGAATTAAAATGACTAAAATATAATAAAATAAAGCATAGATATCAAAATGAAAGAAAATAAAAATATAGCAACTAATTTCGAAATAAAAAAATCAGGAACTAAAGTGTAAATATGTATCTAAATATTAGGGACTATTTAGGGATTTTTCATATTTTAAGTGACTATAATATAAAGATAAGGTAAAAGTTTAGTGGGCTATATGTAATTTGACCCTGATTTAGTGACCAGGATGTAAATAGATGCTTAAATTTTGAGGGCCTAAGGATAATTAACCCCTAAATTAGTGACTAAAACTAAAAAAAGCGCTGAAATTACGGGTGCCATTTGATGGTTAATCCATAAAATATGTGAACAAAGCAAGAAGCTCCTAGAAACTGGAGACCTGACGCATGGTTTACCCAAAAGTTTTATAAACTTAAAACTCATCTTCTTCCTCCTTATTTCACATGCAGAACACCCAAAGTTTCAAACTCTTCTCTTTTTTGTTTTATTTAGTTAACATGCTGTTTGATTTAAATATATATATATAATAATATGTAAAGCTGAAAAATACAAGAAAAAAATGAAATCAACATTGGTTGTGTTTTTATTTCCAATCCTTTGTATATATTGCTGCTCGATCGGGGATAGATGAGGAGAGCGTTATTCTCCTATTTTGTTGGGTTTTTATAACCCATATTACATGCTTAAAACAAAAATAATGATTATTGTTTGTTTGGTGGTGAGCTGTAGCAGGGACGTGGAGGGACAACTGGTGGAGTTGGGTTGCTGTCAGCTGCTGTGTGGAGCGAGAAACCAGCTGTCGTCGGTGGAAGCTGCTAGAATGTGAAGCTGCTGGAATGTGAAGCTGCTGGTAGGTGCTAATTGGAGCAGGGAACCAATTGGATCAAGGTAAAAATGGTGATTACAAAAACCAAAGTCAACAGCACCTTTCTTTGTCCAAATCAACTTGCAGTAGCACGTACATGATGTTCATCTTTGTCTTCTAAAAAATGATGACCCTACATGCTGATGTCCCTACATGCTGCCTTGGATCGTCGCCCATTTGCCACATGTATAGGGCCGGCCCTGCCCCGCCCTAACCCCTTTGCCTGCAAGCGACTGTTCGTGTCCAAGACACCAGCCAAAAAAAAATCTTTGGGAGCTTCTTAATCTTTATCTTGGTCAGAGTGACTCTCATGGTTGAAATGTCTTGGTTTAACCTGTGATACACCGACCCTAGTTGAATGGTTATCCTAGCTCGTTTAGCAAAACACAAATTCCTCCATGCGGCCATTCCAAACGCCCAGCGAAATTCGCACAACCATTTCTTTAATTAATCCATCTAGATTAAATATCACGAGATTATATAAGTTGGAATGCTTGGGTTACATATTTAATGAAAACCTCTCTACATATTATTTGTCCAACCTCGAATTCATTGCACCACTCAATCATATAATTACCCGAATGCATTTGTATTATTTTTCTCTAGTAATCAGAGGCATGCCCTAGTAGTGACCCGAATTAACTTCTTCGCAGACCACCCCCAATATATATATATATTCACAATCTTTTGTCGGTGCACCTCATTTGTACTTGTAGTAAAATACACCATGGGTTTCTTAAAGTTTATTTTTTGTCCCAGCAAACCTCTCTCGCAACATATCTTTTAGTCTCATATCTCCGGCCTCCGAACTTCAATGAAAATCAAACTATCATATGCATAAAAAAAGTATTCACCCTGTCATCATTTTGGCTTGCACGAACCCTATCCCTTAGCAGTTAAAACAGTGTTACTCTCTCCTTAAGTTTAAGGTTCAAATAATTACGTTTACAGGGTGAATGTCATTGTGGTCAATAAATTTAGAAAAATTATGATTGTAATCACCCATATTATTAAAAATTCTCACTAAAAAATCATCACTCAAACTCGGTCATTATGTTGGGAATGTAGTATTAGCCAACGAGGCAGCTGACTAGGCAAGAGATGGTGAGTCAGCAGTAACTACTCAGAGGGAGCGCCGAGGAATGAGGAAGATGGCACCAAAAAGACCGATTTTCTCCTTTACTAGAAGGAATTTAGCATAAATAAGAGACGGCGTGTTTTGGGAGGGGATCTGAAAACTTTTGAGTGAAATCTACTCTCTCTTCTATTTCTGCTTCTAAATTCTCTACTCCATTCTCTGTTATCTAATTCTCTCACAGGTACACAACATTTGGTGCTTTCGTTGAGAGAAAACCCACTGAACCATGGGGAACAATTCTGAAGCTATCAAAGGTCTACAAGAAACCACTGCTCACCATGAGCAGTTGTTGAACTCCATTAAAGCTCAAGCAGAAGAGCAGAAGCAAGCGAACAAGAAGCAATTTCATGATGTGCTTCGTCAACTGGGGCAGTCGTTGAGGCGTTCCCCAGAGAACGAAGGAAAAGGAGAGGTAATGGCTCTTCGAGGAAAAGCAAGGATCAAAGAAGAGGTCGATGACAGATTTCCCTTTTCCCCGAAACCCATCTATATTGAGCTTCCCATGTTTACTGGTAAGGATCCTGAAGAATGGATAGCGTAGGCGCAAGATTTCTTCGATTTTTATGGGACGAAGGATCATCATCGGGTAACCATGGCATCTTTCCGAAT